CGAAGAATTAACTAAATTTAAAAGTGGATTCTTTATAATCTCAAAAGTATTTTTGAGTAAATTGATGTTAATATCATCTGGACTTGATTTATTAGCCATTCCAAAAATAATATCTTTCAACCCTTCAAAATCCAACATACTAAAATCTGAAAAATTAACCAAATCGTCATGGTGAGCCAATGGAAAATCTCCAAGATCAGACTTATCTATATCCCGAAGTATATCTTTAATACTATCAACAAAAAAAATATTCAGTTTATTAGGTAACTCCTCTTTATCACTAATTAAGGTATTATTTATTTCTACCTCATCAATTTTAGCCACTGTTCTTTTTGAAGGTAATAAAGTTTCCAAAGTTTTCCACATTTCTGTGGGATTATTTTTATTTTGACATATTTTTTCTTCATAGAACTTACGTTTCTCTTCTCTAAACACTTGAACTGCAAAATTTCTTTTTTGCTTATATTCATTTAAGTTTTCATCTGTTTTATTATTTTTATAAGTCCTATAACTAAAATCACGTTCTCGCATCGCCATCTCAACCCTATTGTTCCACCATTTTTTATATTTAGGAAAAATTTTTACGGTTTTTATTGGAGCAACTAAATTTAAAATTTCCAGAACAGTTGACACAAAACTGCTAAACTTATGATTTATGTCAGAATGATAGTACCTGAACTCACAATTGCGCAACATTTGGTTGATACTCAAAAAATCAATATTGCCACCTCTAGTATCAACAGTCTTAGCCACTTTAGGACTCACATTGTGTAATATTTCAATCATGTAATGATCAGTAATTTTTGGGGTAATAATAACATTAGCTTTAAACAACTTATCAGAGTTCGTTAGCACCAAATCTATGATTGAGTCTTTATCTCTACCAGAGCGAGTTGTAGCAAAAACAATATTTTTAAGACCTATATCTACAAGAATTTCTTTTAAAGCTTTTGACTCATCCGTTCTGTAATCGATGTTAAAGTCGCCTACAACTAAAATGACACAATTTTCATCAATCAAATTTTCTTCGCACCATGCTTGAAAAAAAAGCTCAAAATCCCGTTTAGATGAACTTGGAGATCTGTACAGAGATACCAAAAGATATTTTTTCTTATTGTAAAAGATGTATGTGTAAACCAACCAATAATTTTTATGTTTAAATGTCTGTTGTGATTTTAAAATTTTAACATCATCTCTTATGTATAAAATCGCCCCACCTGTACTTCTACTATTACTATCTACTCTCTCCAAGCTATAACCATCAATATGAACCTCCCCATCCAGAATTTTTTCTGTTAAGCAAGTTTCAGACAATGCTATAACTACTGGTGATCTACTTAAAGCTAGCTGATAAATCTCATCAAAGTGAGCCGTTAAACTAGATCAGTTAAGGTACAATATAAAAATCTTATCACGCTTGTTTATGTTTCTGGAATTTCTATCAAAACTTGATCTAAAAAACTGCCAGTAGATACTAACAATTGATCTTTTACCTCAGCCCCCGTAATCGCATTTTGACTACTTTCGTTAATTCCGCTATTATCAACAAAAGTTTCTGTATTAACATAAATAAGATTAGCATTCCTTTTACTTACAGCAAACACGGTGTTGCTTATAAGATTTGCAATTTCCACCTTACTTTTTCTGAAACCATTCCAATCATTGAGATCACAAAACATTGTTTTTCCCTCACTATAAAAGTTCAATCGATCTGCATATTCATAAAGCTTTTTATTAAACATTTGCACCCTTTCATCAAGGCCATTCTTTCTATAATTCATGTAAGGAATTGAAGTTAAAACAACGTTAGTGTGAGTGCAGTATTTAAGTTTTCTATTTATATCTCTAAAAGATGGAAATTGCAATCTATCAACATCATTAGAACCAGCCATTATCAAAACATAGTCATCCAAAGTAAAATCTTTTACTAATTCAACAATGTCTTTTGTAACCATTTCAAAAGATGCGCCTGGCTTAATTATTGTTTGACATACCAATTTATTGCATTTTACCCCAAAGGATCTGTCCAGATGGCGACCATATTCGTCACATAAAATAAGTAACCTTCCCCTATTTTTCATTTTTCCACTTCTTTCTGTACTCAAATCCTCATTATTTTCTAGCTGCTTCTGCTTCTCCATTTTCTCATTCTTGCTGTCCTTGTGTAGATCTTCTTTCTTCTTTCCCAATTCATTCTTCAACTTTGTTTCATTCTCCGCATAAATTCTATTATCTGCCTCAAGTATTACTAATGCGTCCTTCATCTGATTCTTGACAATTACAAGATCTGATAAGTCTCCTTTCAGTTTTATAATAAATCTTTCATTGTCATTTATCTGATTAATAAGATTTTTGTTTTTTTCTTTTAATTCCTCAATAAGTGGTTTTAGGTTAATCTCTTCGTCCGTTTGTTTTTTTTGTGCTTTTATTTTTATTTTTAGTTGTTCAATTCCATTTTTAAGTTCATCAATTTTTTTATCTTTCTCTGTAATCTCTTTCAAAAAACTCTCTTCGCTTCTTGAAGCGTCCTCCATTAATGACACTGAACTTCGTTTTACTCGTGCTATATAGTTATCCTTGTCTATTATTTCAGTTTTCAAGTCTTCAATAACAGATTTCAATATGTCAAAAGTGTCTGGCTCATCCTCAGCTGCTGCATCCATACAGTTTCGGGAACATATTGCTAAACTGTCCCTTACAATGGTATATTGTTTGTTTAACCTTGTCCAACAGCTTCTATGAAATACTTTTTTACATACGACACAAAACAATACAGTTGATTCTTTATTTTTGCAACATTTAAATGACGACATTTTCGGGTTGAATCTTTAAAAATTAACAAAAAATTCATGTGCACTCGGACTACAGTGCATTTCAAGTTTAGTAGTTTTGTTTATGTTAAGAGCAGGTTGAGATAAGCCCATTAGCAAAAAATAGGTACCTGGAGATAAAAGTCTATTGTTATTTTTGTTATTTTATTTTGATGGTATAGAATTTTTCAACTGTTTATCGAATTTACCAGGAAATGATTCGATTTCCACTCATGAAACCCTCACAAACAAAAAGTTTACACTGTCACAAACACAATGATACCCAATTTATTAAAAAATGCGAACTTTAAACTTGTCAAATTCAAGATTTACAGGAGCCCATGTTTGACTCTGCACAATACTTTGCTTATGAAATTGCAATCGTTTTTTTAAGTAGGCATTCAAATACTCCGGCATTAGGCTATGTTCAATTTTATAAATTAGAATAAGGTTCGCCTTTCTAATGTTCTGCTCAACATTCAACCAATTTAGAGTTTCCAACATGTATTCTATCGGTGTATACTTACTACAGTTAATAAAATACGCATAATTTTGTTCTGCTGTAGTTGCAATTTTCGCACCTCTTCTTTGTTACAAGATATGATATTGGTACTCCCAGAATAAAGTGCTCGTATCGAATATTTTCAGTTTATTTGTTAAATTGTCATTTTATTTATTCATCCAATTAATTTTTGAGATATGTACACGTATGGGCGCGGAGTTTTTTTACGCCATTTTGAGCAATGATGTCTTTCCACCCCGACCCCGCGAGCAACTCACCTCCCCTGGCAATGGGTGGACTTGTCAACACAACAAACATCAGTTTATGAATGGGATGATCCATCTATCTGTGTTTTGATGTCATTGAATTACCACCATTACCCCCCCCCCCCCTCGCGGATCCACCACTGCCACCCTACATAAAAAGGGCCTCGCAATTCGGATGTCGCCGACGGCCACGTTTGGTTTGGCTACGCCACTGCTATTAATAATTACATTGTTGACAGAGTTAGCAAATATTATTGGATTCTGCACCCTAAAAAATCTCATAACATTACACTTGTCTGTGTTCAAGGATAAACAATTATTTGAGCACCACAAATTAAAACGCTCAAGATCTTGTTGAACTCCATGACAGTCTGTTATCTCATTAACTATTGAAAACAATTTAAAATCATCAGCAAAAAGTAAAAAAGTGGCATTTTGTATGCATTGACACCTCGATTGACACAAATCATTGATGAATAGATTGAATAACAATGGTGATAGATGTCCACCCTGAGGCACCCCTGAACAAGCCTTTATGGAAAAAGACAGACAATTATTAATAGATACAATTTGAAATCTTTCAGACATTTATTTATTAAAAAAAAAAACTAAACTTTCTGCTTAACTGAACTCGAACAAACAATATTAAAACTAGGAGAAAACAAATAAATAAAACATTCAAACTAAAGGAAAAGGTGCGAGAAAACAAATAATATATCGGTATCAGCTTTCTATAAAGCCATATCGTATCGGTATCGGCAATATCGGTTTAAAAAAAAAAAAACCGTATCGGTCGATCCTTGCAAGATGCTGTCAAACTTAAATTAAAATGTCCGCCAAGAGGCACACAAACCCTTTGTTTGCTTGTCAAGTTTATTATGACTCAGTATTTTGTATTACAGGCGACTATAATAATTATAGTCGCCGTGGTAAATTATTTACCAAATATCAAGTGGCAACAGTCTGAAACCTTGTATGACACTTGTATTTACTTCTAATGATATATGTGAACTACTGGTAGATGCTTTTAACGTTTTTACGGGTCAATTCTGTGCACATCTGTAAGCAATTCTATAAATTTCTATAAGCCTATAGCTGCCTGAAGACAAATTGTAATTCTGCACTTCCTGTAGACTTTTGCTGCCCTAGGCTTAGGCCTAACAGTTGCGCTGCGCTGACTCTGTTTTCTTTAATACATTAGGTCCCCATTTAAGGTGTTTATTGATGGTAACTCCAAGATATTTTGTTGAGTCTACTTTGGAGCAATGGGGAGTCTATGTTAATAATTTCAAGCTCTGTAAAGGAAGGACGATTGGATTGGAATATGTAAGGGAAAAGCAGGCGACTTAGTTTAGATTTTCCTTATTAAGTATAGGTAAACCCGAGCGAAAACCCCTAGTATTTATAGTGAACCCCTCTTACCTAAATAATTCCCACATGGAGAAAACGATACTTGACGAATAGTTCTAGTATGTCCATCAGCAAGAACTACCTTGTTGCTCCATTTGCCTAATAGATCCTTTGTCCATATACGTATGGATTTCTCCTCTCCACAAGAGGCTAAAGCATTACCTTTAGGGTGCCAGGACACGTTCCAGACCCTGCCGGGATCTTTTTTTAGTGTTTGTTCTAATTCTAGTCTCATGTTTAATTCTATTGGGCTCTGCGAGAAGTTTATATTTCTGAAAAAATAAATAATTTTCTTGATTTGATTGAAATGAATATTGTGAATCTGTAGCTCTATTTTTTCAATTATATTATGTATGAGTACCTGGATTTTGTAGACCTTGGAAGTAAGGCAAAATCAAAATCATGAGAAAAACTAATGATAATCTCAAAATCAAAACACTTTTTTCTAACCTCGCTTTTCATTTATGATAGCGTTTTCGGTTGTTAAAATTAGTGCAAAGAAAATGTATTTCCAACAGGCTTGAGTCGGGGCTACTCTGGCTACTGCACAGTGCACCCTGCCCCTACACCTCACAGAGTCAGCAGAGCCGCGTTCCTTTTACATCTGCGACATTTTTTAGCAACGCGTTTGTATTCCCCGATGCATTAGAAAGTTCTCGTGCGTCAGACGCTACGCTAATACGGTACCGCTAACAATAAGGTATTCCACATGGTATTTTATAGTTCTCGCACACGAAGACACATAAATCCTCTAATCCCTTATTTTGTTTACATTTTGATATACTGAGTTGAGTGATCTAACTCAACTTTTTTTTGCTTGTTTTGTAACTTTTATTTATTCTGAAGATTACTAGCTTGATTAATTTTCCCTTGGTGTTTTTATGGAGGAATTATTAGAAGTTGCTGTTTTTGCAGACATAAATTGAGCGTAAACTAGTTTTGACATAGCATAGGTAAGGCCTCCGGAAAGTTCCGTTAGTTAGCGGGCTCCGCTAACGCTAATACCGTAAGAACTGTCATACTTGTCAAATAGCGTTACGATATTTGAAATTTGGACAGCACGAGAACTCTTTATTATTATCACGCTGGTTAGGGCTTGTGGCAGAGAATCTGGCTAGCGAAATAAAACATGGAGCACTTGATCTAAAAAAGCGTTCATTTTGGGAGTTACTCAGGATGACTCCGAACGAATAGTTCCGTGCTTGTGATAATTTGGATTAAGGCTGTTCATTTTTACTTGCTACCTGCTCGAACAATCAGCGAAGATCTTCTAGGAACTGCTATTTATGAGCTTATAATAGCCGCTTTCCAGCTGTGTGCTTCAAGCACGGTGCAGCACAGTGTTCTGTGTTTGAAACGCAAAAGTTAGCAAGCTCTCGAAGCGCAGTACGGCTGGAACACAAACACGCGCTTGAAGCATTTGCGCGCGCAAAAGCTCGATTGCGTGCTTAAAAGCGGCAGCTGGAAAGCGGCTTATATAGCCGCTTTGCCCGCTTTCCAGCTGACATTTGTGTTTGTGCTTCAAGCACGGTGCAGCACAGTGTTCTATGTATTTGAACCGCAAAGTTAGCAGCTCTCGAAGCATTACGGCTGGAACACGAGTTCGCGCTTGAAGCATTTGCGCGCGCAAAAACTCGATTGCGTGCTTAAAATGGTCAGCTGGAAAGAGTGGAAAGCGGCTATGGGAGTTATGTGACAAGTGAACGCCAATGAGCTGCTGAGATCCGAGCCGCTTTCCAGTATGGGAGTGTGACGCCCGGAGCTACTCGGGGCGTTGAGCTCCCGAGCTGTACGTACGCGTCAACCTGTCAGCTGTCACATCCGCGGGTGGCTATTTATTTATTTATTTCTTGTTTATCTCAAGATTGATCATTTTAAAATATATAGTTTTGATTCTCTTTCATTTATGATAAAAAAAAAACAAACTGCACAAACAGATAATTATTTTTAAAATTTGACATATTTGACACTAAGACAGGCGTCTCACGTCATGATACTGGAACGGCACAAATCTAGTGCGTGGCGCCCCCGAGGTGCTCTAGAGCGCGCCAATGTGCATACTGGAAAGCGGCTCTGCTTGAAGCCAGAAAAGCACCACAAATGAACAGCCTAAATATGCGTATTAAATATGCTACGCGACGTAGCAGCGAGGCAAAAACCCGTGTTCGAGGGCGCCAATCACGCAAGAATAATACACACTACTAAGGATTGCTTATCGGCCTCGTTTTTGGTAATCGCCGTCATATTCGTGTGTCACCATTTTTGACGCCATTAACAAGTCGTCAGCTGTTTGCACTAGAGATCGTAGTTGATCGTAGTTTAGAATTTAAATTTATGATGAAAATTAGTACATTACAATCCGAGACGGAAAATATTTCATTGCTGGTCAAGAAGAGATTATCTAGCAAGCGAGACCGCAATGAAGTTTTCCGTCGAGGTTTATATACAATTTTATTTTCTACCCTTAATTTCTGAGGCAAAAACTCGAAAATTTCATTGTACGAAATCCTTCATATCTTGTCAAAGAACTTTGACAGTGTATTCCTGACAGTTTTACACTGACAATTTATTGGTCAATTTATTGATCAAGTCGCTTGTCAACATATATTGATAAATGTAATGTAAAACGCTAAATTGGCGGCAATTTAACTAGTTCTCGCTCAATTTATTGACGGATTAGCACATGTTCTATTTTTTCGTCAATTTTTGTGTCAATTCAGGATTTCAACCTAAAAATGACTCTTTAAAAATATTAAAGCTAGGTGAGGATATTTATTTTTATCTATCATTTACTTCGTTGATGTTCAGTTCATTCTTCTACCTTCAGTTTCTTCTCGTTTTATTATTAAACATCTTCAACAAGCTGATCCGGTGTAAAGCGAAGTTGAGCCATTGTTGAGCCAACATAAATTGGCAAATAAATTGACGAACAAATTGATCAATTTAAATTGTCAGTGTAAAACAAGCATTAGAAAAAATCAGCTTTCACTTTCTTTTTTGTCAGTGTCATAAATTTTATGAATGTCAAAGACCAAAAAACAAATTTGGAAATTGAAAAGCGAGCAGGGAAATGGAGGGGTCAGTTAAATTAGCCCCCCCCATATTTCCAAATCCATTAAAACTTATACCATTTTTTTGCACCCATTTTGCACCGTTTTGCACCACCCGAAAAAAAATTTGCACCCCCTCATGAGAGAGATTATATAGAAGTATTACTGGGGGGGGGGGGCCAGATTAACCATGGCCTCCCCCACACGCCGAATTTCATTTTATGATAGCATAAATTGTTCTCCGAGTTTTGCACCATTTTGCACCATAAATATTAAATTTTGCACCGCAACCCTTAGACCTCTACAGGGGGTTGAAAGAGAAATAGTTGGCCCCCCCCACACGCCAAATTTCAATTTAAAATAGCAGAAATTGTTCTCCGAGTTTTGCAACATTTTGCACCATAAATATTGAATTTTGCACCGCAACCCTTAGACCTCTACAGGGGGTTGAAAGATAAATAGTTGGCCCCCCCCACACGCCAAATTTCAATTTAAAATAGCACAAATAACAATTTGTTATTTGTGCAATACTACAAATAACAATTTGTGCAATACTAAAAATAACAATTTGAGCAATACTCACGGAACACCTTGAGTATTGCACCATTTTGTACCATAAATATTAAACTTTGCACCGCAACCCTCAAGCCGCTACAGGGGGTTGAAAGAGAAATAGTTTTCCCCCCCACGCCAAATTTCAATTTATAATAGCACAAATTGTTCTCCGAGTTTTGCAACAAAGTATTAAATTTTGCAAAGCAACCCTTAAGCATCTACAGGGGGTTGAAAGAGAAATAGTGCCAAAGTATCGGTGATGATGTAGTAGCGTGTCGTTTCTCGCCTTGACTTGCCTTGACGTAGGGTGTTTGCACCACGGGCTATAATTCTGCTGGCGTCTGCTTTAATATTCTAAATTGCGACCGCTGGCGCAAACAGCCTGTCTGGTGCTACACCAGATGACCTTGAAATCCAAAAAGAGGCCGATAAGCAATCCGTGTGTAGTGTGTATTATCCTTGGGTAAATTCGTGGGTAAATTGTATAGGGTTTTCAGCTGTGTTGGAACAAAGTTAATATGTCTCTTTCAACCCCTTGTAGAGGCCTAAAGGTTGCGGTGCAAAATTTAATATTTATGGTGCAAAACTCGGAAAAAAATGTGTGCTATTTTAAATTGAAATTTGGCGTGTGGGGGGGCCAACTATTTCTCTTTCAACCCCCTGTAGAGGTCTAAGGGTTGCGGTGCAAAATTTAATATTTATGGTGCAAAATGGTGCAAAACTCGGAGAACAATTTCTGCTATTTTAAATTGAAATTTGGCGTGTGGGGGGGGGGGCAACTATTTCTCTTTCAACCCCCTGTAGAGGTCTAAGGGTTGCGGTGCAAAATTTAATATTTATGGTACAAAATGGTGCAAAACTCGGAAAACAATTTGTGCTCTTTTAAATTGAAATTTGGCGTGTGGGGGGGCCAACTATTTCTCTTTCAACCCCCTGTAGAGGCCTGAGGGTTGCGGTGCAAAATTTAATATTTATGGTGCAAAACTCGGCGAACAATTTCTGCTATTTTAAATTGAAATTTGGCGTGTGGGGGGGGGCCAACTATTTATCTTTCAACCCCCTGTAGAGGTCTAAGGGTTGCGGTGCAAAATTCAATATTTATGGTGCAAAATGTTGCAAAACTCGGAGAACAATTTCTGCTATTTTAAATTGAAATTTGGCGTGTGGGGGGGGGGGCAACTATTTCTCTTTCAACCCCCTGTAGAGGTCTAAGGGTTGCGGTGCAAAATTTAATATTTATGGTACAAAATGGTGCAAAACTCGGAAAACAATTTGTGCTCTTTTAAATTGAAATTTGGCGTGTGGGGGGGGCCAACTATTTCTCTTTCAACCCCCTGTAGAGGCCTGAGGGTTGCGGTGCAAAATTTAATATTTATGGTGCAAAACTCGGCGAACAATTTCTGCTATTTTAAATTGAAATTTGGCGTGTGGGGGGGGGCCAACTATTTATCTTTCAACCCCCTGTAGAGGTCTAAGGGTTGCGGTGCAAAATTCAATATTTATGGTGCAAAATGTTGCAAAACTCGGAGAACAATTTCTGCTATTTTAAATTGAAATTTGGCGTGTGGGGGGGGGGGCAACTATTTCTCTTTCAACCCCCTGTAGAGGTCTAAGGGTTGCGGTGCAAAATTTAATATTTATGGTACAAAATGGTGCAAAACTCGGAAAACAATTTGTGCTCTTTTAAATTGAAATTTGGCGTGTGGGGGGGCCAACTATTTCTCTTTCAACCCCCTGTAGAGGCCTGAGGGTTGCGGTGCAAAATTTAATATTTATGGTGCAAAACTCGGCGAACAATTTCTGCTATTTTAAATTGAAATTTGGCGTGTGGGGGGGGCCAACTATTTCTTTTTCAACCCCCTGTAGAGGTCTAAGGGTTGCGGTGCAAAATTCAATATTTATGGTGCAAAATGGTGCAAAACTCGGAGAACAATTTCTGCTATTTTAAATTGAAATTTGGCGTGTGAGGGGGGCCAACTATTTCTCTTTCAACCCCCTGTAGAGGTCTAAGGGTTGCGGTGCAAAATTTAATATTTAAGGTGCAAAATGGTGCAAAACTCGGAGAACAACTTATGC